GTCTGTAGGGGGAAGTAGAATAGAAAGAAATTAAAAATATATATCGAAAACGGATAGAGAAACTGATTAAAAAGTGAAGAAGAGAATCCAACAATCCGTGTGCCCCTTCCCTAATTTATAAAAAGAAAATTATTTTCCTTTGATAGAAATTATTTCTCTTAGATGGAATGAGTTTCTTGATTGGAGCTACGTACTTGTAGATTTCACAAGATAAAGTGTAAATGTATAGCAATCTTCTCCGCTATTTAATCGGCGATTTATTTCAGTATATATATATTTATGCTGATTATCAAACAATCAAGCGGCATAATTGCGCTTTTTTCGCATCAGATCATATTCATGGTCAACACGTTTATCCGCATTGACGCAATTCAATTGCGCAGACAAAATCGAAATTACAAAGAAGTAAAGGCCTTGCAACACTTAAAAGAGAATGGGAATATACAGCATTCGGTAGCTGCGAAAGTGATTCTTCAAATTAGAATCTGATTTTGGAATGGCATCTTGGCACGAAGAAACCTAGTGTTTTATAAGAAATTTTATAAGATCCGCGAGAGATCATTACTGAAAGAACAAATCCAAAATGATTGATACTCCACACTTTTCCCTCACTCCCTCTCTTTTTATCCTTGACTTCACGAGTAACCTTACTTATTCATCTATGGTACCGTCCTTGTTAGAAAATATACAATATATTACGCGCCATTGTATATTACGCGCAAAGAAATTAAGTAAATTAAGTAAATGAATAAATATTTAATAGACTTTGCTTTTACTTTCTGGAATGATATCAGATAATTTTGCAAAATTGATGATGAGTCTTTTCGCGCTGAATGAAGGTCACCTTATATGAACTTATGTAATCAAATACAGGTGTTACAACCTAACAATAGTCCTCGGCAATTTATGCATTTGCATCATAATATGTAGGCCTTGATGTAATCGACGTATCTATAATGCCAACCGAAACTATCGCGTGTATCGTTAAATTCTGAACTTCACGCACGACTATGAATCATTATAAAAATAGAAAAAATATCTACGGTAATGAATTTTAAATTCTAGTGACGTCCAAGTTGCTGTCATACAAATTTTACGGAGACAAAATATTTATATGGAAAAAGTTATGCACAAGTTAGAAAAATTATAAATTATGCCAACGGTACATCATAGATTAATTATAATGATGAACACAAACTGCGAGGATCACAGTGGCTTCGACAATTTCTTTGGAAATTGCATGTAATTAAGAAGTTTTGTAATAAATTGTAGGCAAAAGTTTACCCGATATTAATCCGTGGTGCGCGCAATATACGCGATCGATAATCCGCTTAACGTAATCACGTCTGATGTAACGTTTTAATGGACACGGAGAACCAAATGAAAATTTGCGGTAAAATTGTTGCTGAGGTAATATTAATTATTACCATTATTAAATTACTATGCGCAAAAGCGAATCGGTCATAAGCTGCAAAAATTGTGTGGAACGGCGGCGATTGTGCAACACTCGTAAACGCGTCGTAAATCCATGAATGAACGAGAAGCTTCTCCGAATGCATCAGCTGTTGATTGATGACGTAACCGATGCCTGCATAACCGGCGCATGTGACGTCACGATCTCTCACAGAGGGATGTGTTGGATCACCCTATGTTGTCTCAATTAGAGATCTCCGCGAGTAACTGAAAAACCAACTAAAATAAAGCGTTTGCGTCCTGAAAATGATGAGTAACGGTGAAAGATGCGTCGACGAGCTTAACTCAATTCGTAACATCGTGAAGACCAGCTGAGCAAACTGCTAAGATTTGGAACACGAAGAGGAAACACATTTCTTCCAGAATGCGCTAAAAACGACGAAGAGTGTAATGAATAAACTCAAGGTACAACGGAGTCACACATGACACAATGCAACTGCAGAATTCAATGAAATGAGGACGCAACTGTTCGCAATAGGGCATCCCAAGCGACGTCACTAGGATTCGAAATGCGAAGGCGGCCCTTTCAGATTCGTTCAGGAACGACGAGTTGATAAGGTCGAATGTGTACGACGAGACGCAACAAGATCACTGAAAACACAAGACTAATGCACACGAACGATGACGCAACCGTCGTTTCACGATTTTACGTCGCAAGTGACGTCACTAGGACCTCCAAGACTCCTCTTCGCGAGTCCTGGGGACGACGGGGGACGCAAGCGAAGCCGAGGAGTCGATTCGCCATTGGTGAACAACAGCGGAGTAGTGGTGCAGTCGAGGAGTTTGCGAACGGTCTAACTGGAAAGTGGATCGATAAACTCGCGCCTGCCCCGTCCGGCACTGCCGACACACACGGATGCCCCGTGTGTCCCCAAACTAGTTTTAAGAAGGCGAGCGTGATGCACGATCGCGATCAGTCGCGATGTAACCGCAGCGTGAAACGGCCTCGCACCAGGCCACCGGGTGACCACCATCAGATGCTCGACGTGGGCTGATCTCGCGCCGAAGAACCGATCGGGCACGAAGCCGGCGATCAACGACCTAGTTAGAGTGGACTCGACGGAGGACTCACGTCCTTGGGAACGAGTGCCCGCCGAGACCACGCCTGAGGATCCAGGTACGCGAAAAGAGCCGCAACGTGTTGGTCTGGTGGGACACCTTATAGTGAATAGATACCGTGTCCTTTGTAGAGGCGAGGTTTGCGAATTGCAAGATTTGCCCGGCGAGAGAGTCACGAGACATTAGTAGTTGGCCGGCTTGAGTTGATTTTGGAGCACCGTTGAAATTTTTGTGTCATGAGTAGAGTGTAGCAATTGAAATGGAATGAACGGTTTAAGCTGTAGAAATGTAGGAGAGTTTAATGTGTGGACAGTAATAACGAGTGGAGATGATTGTAGAGCTCGTTAAGACAGCAGGAAGTCTACATTTCGGAGAATGCATTTCGAAATTAATAATCAAAATACATAACTACGATTTTCCGAAATGTGAAATTAAGTACAGAGTTTCCTCCTGACGTTTTAAACGAGTAGATCCGACCGAGCCGAACCCTTCAACTTGCCGTTGCGATTTGTGTGACTTTCGGCCCTTCAGGGCGTTACCTCGTGCGCGCACGATACTGAAGTCGATTGCGAGACAACGTACATAAGCGAAGTAGATAGCTGGCTGTCTCGGATAAGAGCTAGTAGCCGTCGATGATGCGTTATTAAAGTATTCCCGAGGATTCTTTCAGGGTCAGGCCGAATCGGTGAGAGGCTTTCTGGACAGGATTTATACGAGTATGCGTGTCTGCCTCTCGAGGAATGCGTTATCGGCGCGAATCGGTCGCTACCTGTTCGCCGATGATTCAGAAGACGGAGAGAACGCGAAGGACGCGAGATGCAGATAGACGGTGGTCGTGTGTATTCCGTCGTCGAGGCTCCAGCAGCTTGATTGCGCGTAGGTTAAGGTTACGAGAACTCGTGCAATCCGTGCGCGACGCAACGTGCTTTTCAGACCTATCCGCTCTTTCACAATCGGTCGATGCGTGACGCAAGGTGCAGCTGACCAGACAATGAATATCAAATGATTGCGCGGTCGATCGTCGGGCGGCCTCGTCGCGTTCCACGTTGATCTTTATCGATGAAGTATCTTTCTACTGGTCGTCGTGATTAAACTCTTCTTTTATCTTTTCTTTCGGCGAAAAGAAGAAAATTAAGTGTCTTTTGGTTACAATAAATATACTCATTTTAATGAATTTGGTAGAAATTAGTCTTGAGAACCAGATTCTTAATTTTCTCGAATCGTAGGGCGATGAACAGAAGCGAAAAAAGAAGAAACGGAGAAAGGTCCGACGATGTCAAGACCAAAATTCCTGAATTAATTAATTTAATTTTGTTTTGCTACAAAATGAATATCTTTAAAACTGAATCTTGATTTATCGGAAATTATAATTTGACGAGCATCATATCTTCCTTTCTTTCTTTCTACTTTGTAGCATATGGTACGGATTGTTTCAGTGTACCAATGTTGCAGCTAAGATTACGAAAGGAAACGTGGAACACGAAGCAAGGTTGCTTAATCGAATGGCCTTAATCGAGCAGTTTGCAGTTTCAATTTCCGCGCGTAACGTCGCGACGATTGAGCATCGTTATCACGGTTATCGTGACATGTTCAGCGGCGATATCGAAGCGCACTTATGGATGTTAAATATAGATAGCCAAAATCGAAAATCTGTTTGCGCGTTTGCGCAAAAGTCAGTCCGTATTGACGAGGGAATTAATGAGCCGCGATGCCGCAAGTGCTTATTAACACGTCAACCACGTGGACTAACCCACGATTACTATAGTCACTATTATATTATATTAATTACTATAATGAAACGCTCGGCATGAATCGTATCGCGGTGATGCAGCAAGACAAAGTCTGTCATGACGAAACGTGAGTGGGAGGAATCTGAGAACGTGTTACATGTTAATTAAAAGCAAAAACCCGTTCGCGATATTATTTATCTGATCTAGACGCTCGCTCGTAGCGTAATAATTATGCATAAACGCGACGTAATCACAGTATCTTGCAATTGTAATCGACGTGTTTCAGCATTGCCGTTTACACGCGGAAGATTATTTCACGAACGCATTCGCTCCCATACGTTGAGATCGATTATTGTATCTTAGAGCGCGAAGTTGGTTCCTCTCATTGAAAAATTCAGAACTAGATCACCAATTCACAACATTCAACACGGTATGTTTCCCACGAATGGAACTCGAGTCTTCTCCTATCTCTGGCAGAGAGTCTATAGACAAGTCTGCGACTCACCGATTTATTATAACACTACGTGCTCCACTAAGCTCGCGATTGCATTAAAATGACGATTGTTTGGCAGTGGTCCACCGCAGTAAGAGGCTGCCTACCTTCCTCGACTGGCACCGGCACCGTTGGATGATCCATATTTCGATTTTCGACATGACTAACAGCGTCTACTGAGCGAATCTAATCGACGATCAAGAGGAGAGAAAACGAGTAAAAGAGAGAGAGGGAGAGATAACACGAGACTCCCCTCGCGGCGATTACGTAATTTGCATTGTTTGTGTCCTGAAATATAACTGTCTGGTCGGCGAGAGTGCGAACGCTAGCGCGCTTACGCGAGCCTTATCATTCTCAAAGGAGAATGGCTATATATTCGCGGCAGCGAGTGTCACGCAGCCCTCAGTAGGAAGATGATAGAGGGCCAGGTGCATCAACATCCGGTACGAGTGCCGCCCGACAAGCCACAGCATGACCAGACGAGTGCCGTCAAGTTCGAAAAGTACGTCTGATATCGTTATGCATTTTTCGGGGGACGTGCGAAAATCCCTCCGAACGGGAAGTTCAACGAAATGATCGAGCGAATTGAGTGAAAAGTAACAGCGTCGATCGCGTCGTTATTTCGCGGTGCGTTCTCGGTTCCGATGTTCGAGTGCCGAGGTGAACAGTGTCCATGGCATGGAATCGTGATCGAAATCACGCGGCAGGATTATTTAATTGTGGAATCAGCATGCACGACAGTTGATCGTACGCTTCTTATGCACTGATCCTTACATCGCTTAACAACACAGCTTTTGTCTTTATCTTGCACTTTTTTCTTATCGCTAAAGCACACGCTAATCGTCACGATCAAGTGACTTTAACCTTTCATTTGAGGAATGATTCGCGGCGATTATCTATGAGCAACGAAGATTGGGACGGATTCTTTTTTAAAAGTATAAATTCATTTCTTTATTGTATATCATAATAAAATACCGTTGAATTATAATCGATATTGCTTATATATAATTTATACTACATGATTATCGTGTGTGATCATCCGTGAATCTTCTTTAATTAATAACTAAAAATCTACGTAGTTACTTGCAAAATGATACAAAACTTTTAATTCCACCTAATCTACATGAGACATGGGACACTTCGTGCCATTATCCTGTATAAAAAAGACTGTTTTTTAATTTATACTGACTACCTCTTAGATTATTTTTTACGACTCTTGTACATTAGATATTTATCCCTTTCCTCCCAAATGAATGACGTTTGCTTTAGTCCTGTTTCAAGATACCATAACGCTTTAAGCTTATCGCTTGCTGACGATCATAGCCCAAGGGTTAATGAGACTCTCACGCAACGACATTCTCATTTCTTGCTACCAGCTCTTAGAAGCTCTCTGCGAGTCGGTAACGCCGATGTCAACGTGTCAGCGAAAATCTCCTTTCTGTCGGCAGTGAACAATGTAAGGAGCCTCTGCTTCCGGAGAAGCAGAACTCCGCCAGGATGACACCGACCGATGGCCGCTCGCGAACCACCTCCGAGTCAAACACCACTACCAACGGACAAGCCGGTCAAGCGAACTCTATCGGGCACGCTGATGAGTGTCTCGAGGTGACCATCTTCGACGACGCCACTGACGGCGGTCGGCTGCCGGATGTCGTCGCCGAGAGCAAGATTTACGGCGTGACCGAGGATGAGCCGCTCGAGTCGTACTTGGCGATCACCATCCAAGTCTTTATACCTTTCCTCATCGCCGGCTTAGGCATGGTGGGCGCTGGATTAGTCCTCGACCTGGTTCAAGTACGATCGACTCACCCTCGTGCCACTGAAATATTTCATGAGAAACACGATCGATCGATTTTGTGGAAATGTTGATGCGGGTCATGCCGGGTGATTCAGCGACACGCGACAGCTGATTGTGTTCTTTGATATAGGACGGTTGCTCGACTTTTTATATAATGTCAAGCGTTCACGGCAGATTCTCCAATTAATATCAATTCTTTAATTAGTATTGTCTTCTTCGTAGTGAGAGCTTCACAAATTAAGAATATTACATTAATTAAGTCAACATCAGAAATTATATATTTAACTTCATAGTTCACATTTCCTGACAATTTTTTTTTCAGTAAACTTTAGGCCAGCATATGGTTTTTATTAGCCCATTTGATATGATTAGAAATATTAATTTTTTTCGAGCAATCAGTGAATTCTCTCCGTCTGTACATTGTCTGTAATAAAAGTCTGTACATTGAAATCATTTGCGGTAGTAGACTCTTTCTGCGCCCGATTTATTTCGTCTGTATTTAATTATGCGTGTTTTTCTTAAAGAAGATCGATTTTAAATTAACTCAGTAGAATCTGTTTCATTTTGTCAGCAATCTTTCATGCTCGTTTACAGCATTGGGTAGTCTTCGAGAAAGTCAACGAACTCATGATCTTGGTGCCGGCACTTCTGGGACTAAAGGGTAATTTGGAAATGACCCTGGCGTCGCGTCTTTCTACTCAAGCGAATCTCGGTCACATGGACATGCCGAGAGAGCAATGGCACATGATTGTTGGGAATCTCGTATTAATACAGGTAAGAAAAATCATGACTCTCGTCGTATTCAAAGATGAATCAATTATTTTCGTTAGTTTAGTTGTAGAAACTTTGATCCTCTGCGACCTTTGCGCGATGATTGTTTGTAATATTCATATTTTTCATCCCACGATAAATCACATCGCAATTGCACAAGAAAATATAATTTAAAGACTACAGTAACCGCGTTAATAGTCGGACCCTATTTAAAATATATATAAAATCCCTATATAAAATATTTATTATCGGGAAAATAACAATATACGGTCTTGGTAAACAGGCGCGTGTCATTATTGTCGGTTTCATACTTTGACCTTTCACTGTCAAATTTACCCCTTTTATTGACTTAAAAATGTTTGGATTAATTTTTGTTACTTAATAACTTAATGAGATTTGCCCACCCTCTCTATTATAAATAAGCTATTCCAATAGTAACAGCTTATGTCTGACTATTAAGATCGAATATTACTATCCTCTCGACAATAAATATTATTGATCGACTGCCAGACTTCTGCACGGCGAGTCTTAAGAATATTCTTCTCCGTATTTTTAGTTATTTCATTGCAAACCTCGCGTGATGTGACGGCGACCTTAAGTACGGAATGACACAGATCATCACTCATCTATCGAATACACGTGCATGTATACTTTATTCCACCAAGTGGAAAGATTCTTTTCTTTTGTTCTTTTTCACATCGAGCTGTGTGCAGACACGCTCTTGACAGAGTTTCCTCAGATTTAGCTTCAGACTTTACCGTCGCGAAACTGGTTCTAACTAGATGTTCCATATTAAACGCCGATATTTACCACTTATCATTCAAAGGAGCCGTAACTTAATTCCGTCGAGTACAATGGCGAGACGTGTATTGGTTCAATCCGACGCCGTTTATTTTTCTTCTGAAACTTTTGCTCTCAGCTATACGGCTTTCCGACGCTTCGTAGAGAAGCGCGCGCGCGCAATTGCCGCGTCTTGTTTAACGAGCACTGCAACTAGGCGACGTACAGCGCGCGCGCGTACTCGCGGAAAAATCTCACCGCTGTTAATCATCCGCGTGTCTTATCATCTCCTACATCGTAAATATATCCGCGGCTGTCGCACGTTACCTATTTCTTTTTTTTAAGTTCAAGTTCAACTACGCGAATTTCTACTCGGTTAAATTGGCGGACGCGAGTAATCTGGCGAATCCGCCGAGCGTAAGCGACGGGCGATGTGATTACTGTAATCCGCGGATTTCGAGACAAATCGTCCCGTCGCTCGCTAATCACGAAACGATCGTCGTTGTTAATACTTCCTGGAATTTGCGAGTTGTCAGAGAATACAACGATACGCCGCGGCAATTTGACCCGTGGTTAGCGGTTAATTGTGAAACGAGCCGGCGGGACAATTCTGGGAAAACAAGTAACGTTTTTCCTAGCTGCTCGATTTAGCAATTGAGCTACGCGCTCCGGCCGTCTTATCATTGGCGCCACGATTTTATTTTATTATGTGTTTAACGCTGACGGTAGGCGGCCTTCGGCAAGTCGACTGTTTGCCGTACGATCTTTTGTGCATATGCGCGTGGTACACGCCTGATTACTTCACAAAACATCGCGCGATAAATGAATCGGGCACTGCACGAAGTCTCTCGAAGGGATAAGCCACGCTTGAAATTTTCTCATAAAATCTGAGGAATCTCGACTTTTTGATTTTTGACATCAGAAGAGCTAGGAAATGCATGTCCAAAATGTTTGCAAAACAAAAAGATGTATCCAAAAAATGACAATCGAATGAGCACACCTTTTTAAAATACTTCTTTTCTTTCGCCCAATCAATAAATAAATAACCGTAAAATTAATGTGATAAAATAATAAGGAAATGTAAGTTAAAAAGGAAGGTTGTGCGTCACATCAATTTTACGATTATTTATTAATTGTTAGAGCAAAAAGAAAGTGTTCAGAATACTTTTGGGACTTAATCGATTGTGTCATTTCATGAATATATCTTTTTACTTAGATGTACTATTCCATTTGTACTTCATCAGTAAAACGTTTATTGGAAGAATTATGAAGGAATCAGTAGAAGGACATAATCTTATCTTCTTCACGCGATTTTTCTTCACACGTCGACAGAAATAAGTTACACGGAGTTAAAAGTTAAAAGTCCTGATCTTCCGCAGTGTCAAGCGATAGTGGTGGGCTTTCTGGGCTCCGTTGTGGCGATCGTGATGGGAGCGTTTCGTAACGGCACGGTATCCCTGGATCACGCGTATCTGCTGTGCGCCAGCAGCCTGGTCACCGCGTCTCTCGCTTCCTTCGTTTTGGGCCTTATTACCGCGGGCGTCATCGTCTTCTCCCGTCATTGTCATATCAACCCGGACAACGTGGCTACACCGATAGCCGCCAGCCTCGGCGACATCACTTCGTTGGCTCTTCTCTCATGGATCTCCACCATACTCTACGAGTCAATAGACAAGCAGGACTGGGTGGCACCCCTCGTCATAGCTTGTTACGTCCTCGTCACACCCCTCTGGGTGTGGATCGCCAAGAGGAACAAATATACCAACGATGTGCTCTACTTCGGCTGGACGCCAGTCATGGTAGCCATGTTGATAAGCAGGTAAAGGAAACTCTTCGATCATATATATATATCTCTCTCCCTCTCCTTCTCCCTCTTTTTCTCTCTTTCTCTCTCTCTCTCTCGATCCGGGTCGCGAAACGTGTATAAATAATGCATCGCAAATGAAAGATTTATTATTAGACCATATGCGTATCGTATCTCAAGCGAGACTTTCGAGTTGCGTGTAATACGAGAGATTTCCCACAGCTGTGGTGGTCTTATATTGGAGTTCATGGTGTCACGCTTCGAGAATCTGACGGTATTCCAACCGGTCATCAACGGTGTAGGCGGAAATCTCGTAGCTGTCCAGGCTAGCAGGATATCCACGGCGCTTCACAAGCAAGCAGAACTCGGCACACTTCTAATTCCGCCAGGTCACACGCATCCCGTCATCTTCATCACACCTATCGCCAACTTCTTCGGGAAAGGTATCCTCTTGTGTTTTATCGATTTCCCGAGAAAGCCAAGGAATTACCTCTGTTTTTTTCTCTTCTTTTTTTCACGATCAGAATTATCTCTTATCGTCGTATTTTTTTCCTTTTCTCAGGTATGCACGCCAGAACGACGAGAGTCCTGATGGCGATGGTGATACCGGGTCACATTATCTTCATTTACTTGATTAATTATATGAAGGACGGCGATACGTCGATGACACCGCTCTTCGTCTTCGTTTACCTATGCGCGGCAATGCTCCAAGTCGCGGCGCTCCTCTATATCGCCTATATAATGATCCATTGGATGTGGAAGCGGAAGATCGATCCCGACAACTCGGCGATCCCGTACCTGACCGCGATGGGTGACTTGCTCGGGATCAGTTTGCTCGCGATTGCCTTCCAATTTCTGTACCTGGTTGGAGATCAAGATTTTGACGCGCCCATCACGCCTTGACCGTAGTAAGACTAATTTCTATGTGACTATGAGCATGGTTGTCAACGATAATGGTAATTACACGCGTCTGCTATCATTTGTATTTTTAATTACGGTATTTCTCTGTCCACACGGTCAAAACCATGTTCATAGAGTAACTTCAACACTTATGATATTAATTATACATTATCGTGATATTAATAATTGATACAATTACGTCGAGACCGAAGAGAAAAATTATTTAAACGGTAATATGATTGCAGATAATTTTTCTTCCAACTGCATGTGTGTGTGTGTGTGTTAAATGAAAATATAATTTTACAGATTAATTATTTAATATTGACTATATATTATTGCAATTATTATTATTATTGTTATATGACGTTGAAAATATCGACTGATCGTGTCTTGCTTAATGTCGCTGGAAAACTTAGTCTCACTATGATTTTTTACAGGTAGTCACAAATTGTAGCGTTTTTCGGCAAGCGAGTCGCGCAAAAGCTGAAATCGGACCGAATGGGCATTCCTACGAGGCTGTGGTCGTCTGAAAGTATACTCCAGCGAATCAATCTTCGATCTGCCAGTTCGCCGGCGAATCTAACGGACGGTCGGTCGCAAGAGTGACTGCCGCCGCCTCACTATCGCGAGAACCGGCCGTACTATTTTCCTAAGAAGCCTGCGAGAGAGACAGAGAAGCCGTTATCCATGTGGGTGTCCCGACACTCGACAATTGACGAATTCTTGACGAACGCAAGCGGAACTTCAAAGATCCAGCACGACGATAAACAAAAGCGATGGATCGTTAATGCCTTGTCAGTCGAGTGGGCGTACTCAGGTTTTAATTAGCTACTAATGTATCAAGAAGATAAAGATTGATGTGCGTTTCGGTAGCACATGGAGCAAATTTGCCTAGAGATCGCAGGTGTCTCGATAGATATGGAAATTTTCCAAGCATTTAATCTTATCATCGAAATTCAAAAGCCTAACGTACGAGAATAATTAATTTCTTCTTTAAGGCTAACGCGAATCAAGATAATAATATTGGATCTTGAATTACTTTGAAGTGACGGCGATAACTTTACAATTGTTTCGGCGATATATTTGGCGAAATATCTTCCAAGCGTAACTCAAAGCCTAAGGAATCGTTAATTTCACAGAGCCGAGTAATTCTTAAGGTGCGGTAAAAACACCCAAAATTTTTCGCTGCAACACGAATGAAAATTGAGGCGGAAATTTTCCTATTTTTTAAAAGCTGTGTCAATGAAGAGAGCGATTTCTTATACAGCTTCGTGAACTATCATTCATCGGGCTCAGAGGGAATTCCGGCTCTTCCACGGAGCATGCGTGAAAGTGTCAGGGAGATGAGGAAGAGTACGTGTAGTTGTAATACCAACGCGTATGTGTCTTCGAATAGTTGCCTTCGTATACGACGAAATTTAGATAGGTATTAGAAGCTGCCACGCGACCTATTTTTGGAAGCTTTAGGTGCTCTCGGATTTGCTCGATCTTCAAGTGCAGACTCAGCGTGTAAACTCCTGCCGTGACTCGTGCGGCGCATTCAATCGGAATTTAGTCTTCCTCTTTCCACTAACTAGCTCTAAATTCCTTTCTTCATTTTCCGAGCTAGTCATCGAAAGGGATTAGCAGAAAGCGTCTCGACTTTAAAGAATGTGTGTGATCGTCCGGAGAATTATTTATTAAACAAAGATTGCCGAACATGCAAAGAAAAACGAATCATGGTAAATTCGAGAGCCAGCAAGACGCAGAATCTCGTGTGACAGAGCGATCGATGACTTCACGTTCACACTATAGCGCTATCATTTAGATTCCAGAATCACGAGTACATCTTCCAAAGTTTCACGCGCGGATTAGATATTTTGCGGATGTATCGTGATACTATATTGAAAGGGTCGCAATTAGACGAAAGATATACGCGCGACACAGACACGCGATAATCGCGAGCTTAGTGTCCAAAGTCGACGTAGAGATCGAGATATAAAAGAAAGATATAAAAGAAATAATTAATTAAAATTTTGCTGGATTCAAGTCACGTTTAGAAGTATCGTTAGCCAAATAGCGAATTTCGATTGCAAAGAGCGAACAAGGATGAACCTTGGCGAAATCGTGCACGACTCAGTAGTATCGCTTCGAGGAGGCAACGATCAGTGGCATTTAACGAAGTTGAAACGTGCATTTAGTTAACGTCTCGTTGTGATCAGTCAATATGCGAATAATTTTATTCACCCTGACGTAATTGCGAACGTGTGTACACACTGCGTACACGTTTTTGTGTTCAAAGAGAAAGAGGGGGGGGAGATGAGAGAGACAGGGAAGGAGAGAGACTTTTTTTAACGTTGACGACGATACTTCGGCCGAAATTAGTTTCGCTCGATACATCTGTCGGCTTGCGGTAGCACATTGTATAATACGTGAATTAGGATATTCCGTAGGACAAGAGGCGTCCTCATATTCCCGTGTACATATTATTGTATAGCGCATTACCTATAGAGGCGTCGCATGTCGAAGACTAATATTTAGTCTTCGCGGTAAGGAGAAGGATTTTTACATCCGAGTCGATATCGCCTTTCGGCACATACTCTCTCAGTATTATCGCTTTGCTATTGCTACTGGAATTGCAGTGCGACTACAAATAGCAAATATATCCGGTTCCGCCGAGAGAACAGCCGACACGCGCTTCCCTAACACGCGTGTTTTGAGGCGAAAACTGCGTTCAATATCGAGACCCGATCGAGATAGCACAAAATATGTTTAGTCAGAGGAGGAAATTACGGGATACGATGAATTTTGGGGTTGCATCAGCGATCAATAACTGTGCATAAATTCGTCCGACGTTCACGCTGTCGAGATATTTTTCACTCGCATTGAAGATCTGATACGCGGTAGTGTTGCTTCACGATGCTTTTATCAATGCGACAGAAAGAGCGTCGCAGAATTACGTAAGATCCGAAAATGCACTCACTCGCACTTACATTTCCGAACGTGAGTTCTTTTAAATTGCGTGCATATATACTTTATTGTACGATCGAACGTTTTTAATGGTTTTCACTGAGTTTTTCACACTCGTGACTGTCAGGCGAACGTTTCACAAAGCGATGTTTCCTTTCTCTTGTTTTCTTTATATGCATGCGTTTGTTAATTCTTACGAGTGTAATGATTGTAGTAACGAGAAGAAATGTGCTATAAATACGCAGACAATAATATGCAATCTGAGGACGGATATATAAAAGTATTTTGTATGTAAAGTTGGGCGAGTATATAGGATCCACTGTACAAACCAACTTTTACAAATAAAAAAGCGGAAACGATATATTTTAATCGTTTTATTTGTGTGCAACACATTTGTGTAATGGTTGAGGATATCTCAGAGAATGATGCTGCCACTCGATCGCCAGACCGTAAACACTCTCATCTCGACATAATAATTTCACGAAACATAGTCACTTGAAGAAAATTGTCTATAGCCTAATATAGCGTTTGCACCGTAAGCTAGAACGACGTACGTGCAGACAATAATATAAGCGGCGAGAAGAAAAAGAAATATTTTGTATACAGTATCGTGTTATAAAACGTGCGTCTTGTAAACGCGAATTTAGAACTCGATAACGGTTCTGAGAGATCGTGCAGTGTTCCGAAATATGTTCCTGTGTGCGTTCTGTTAAAGTTATAACGAAAGAGAGGATAGGCACTTTACGTCGTAGATCGACTTCGCAGATAACGACGATATCTGTTAGTCAATTACGGCGTTAATTACGAGTTTTACGACGACGTGGTATGGAGCACCAGTGCGCAATAATCGCGATGTCTCTAGCTGAAATTATGCTTTCAATCGTTAAACGAAATCGTCGAGCAGCATAGTAGTCGAGAAATATTTTGACGCAGATCTCACTGAAACAGTGATGTAATTTTGTAAAATATGTATAATAAAAAGTATACAGAAAATGACTTGTATCTTCTTTGTTATCATCCATTTTTCTGTCCCCCTTCCCTTTTAGAACAGACATGATATTTGATGTAAAATATCGAAGAAGGATGATTTTAAATTATGCAAAATTTACTGGTGCACCACTTTACATTTATTGGAGTCATTATTCTCCTTCTTGGATTCTCGAATTATATGTACAAGTGTTGCTTCAACATATATTGGTCAGTATGATGGATTGATTACGCGCTCCGTTGGCAAGTGTGCGTGCCTGGACATAGACTCTGTCCGAACATGGCGATATATTAGTTTGCAAAACAAATTACACCCATTTATGTCATTAAAAGAAATATAAAAGTGTTGTAAATCTTTTTACCCGTCATACTGACTTGTATGTTAATGCAGCAGTGTAGATATTAAAATGTTACTCCGAGGACAGATCTTGTGGGAGATAAATTTTCAACCAAAAAACACAGAAAAATCACATCTAACTTAAAAAAAATCAAACAAAATTATCTTAAAAACGATAAAAGAATCAACAAAAACTGAAATTTTCAAAAATCTCTCAAAACCATAAATTACGCTGAGAACAAGTTTTGTGGGAGATTTTGCACGCGGAAGAGACCATTTTCAAGGTTATTATACTCAACACATCTCCTGATTATAGCCAATTTAACAAAAATTATAAAATCAATGAAAACACGCCTATATTTCCCCCAATAAAAATAAAATCTCTCAATTTGATCTACCCTCGGAATTACATACATTTTTTCACGAGTTTTTACACGAGAGACACCGTTTTAAACGTTCTAAAATGTTGGAAGACACAAAAAACTCAAAAATCAACCAAAAATTACCTGAAAAATCCAATAATTTTTCATATAAAATTTACGTAATTCCAAGGGCAGATTAATTGGGGCAAGTATTTACTCTAAGGACAAAACAAATTGGGACAAAGATTTTCACCTGAAAAAAAACATCTGAAATCATACTAAAGTATCTCAAAATAAGCAAAGAAAACTGTATTATTCACTAACCTACATCGAACTTTCGGTTTATGAGCCAAGGACTCTTTCTAGAAATGATAAAAATGGTACGCGTAATAAAATTCTAATGGTAATAAAAAAAAAAATAAAAATAAGTGATAAGTAAAACATTAATAATAAATAAATTATAATTGTTTTGCTTATTTAATTTAAAGTTTTTCAAATCAATTTACAAGTCAGCACCAGAAATTCCAAAAAACAAATCACTAATTTATAGGTACATTTCAATTATAAAATATAAAAATAAGAAATTCATTTTGCTTACCTTTCATTTACGTCAAACTGCTAAATCTAAGAAAATTTTACTTTCAGGTCTATTTTCTCTTGTGAAGATAAAGCTGATGTTACAGTTTCTAAGTCCAAAATCTTTTGCCGATTTTCTTTGATTCTGATGATTACTTGCTGGAGTTTTATTTTTAATATCTCTTAATTTCGTTTTATTTTTAATATCTCTTTTCAAATTCCGTTTCTTCATACCCAGGTTTCTGTTTTCAGATTTCAACTTTGAAATTTCTCTGTTATTTTGTACGGACATTGTTAGCTGTGCGGACAGAGTACGGCGGGCGGCCGGGCTCCAGGCGAAGTTATACTCGCGAGCGGTCGCCTTCTTGCGGCCGCCACACCGTGACCACAAATTCGCACGCTGGTTCGCGCCGTCGCCGCGACGTGGCGATGGCCTCCGTCGAGTCGTCACTTGCTGTCAAATTCCGACTCGGCAGCTATATTAGCCGGAGCGAGCGACATCTCCTTAGGGTTGTCGTTGTTTGTGATTTTTTATCATTTTGAGGGTTTTTTAAGGTCTTTTGGTGATTGAGTGAATAACTTTCTTTATTTGGTAATAAGAATGGCTGTGTTCCAAAATTTACTGCCAGTGCAGAAATTTTATAGCATACGTAACATAAACTATAGATTTTCAGTACAGAGTCTTGGGCCGCTATTCTGTTCAGTGATGCTAGGGTCGAAGTAGTATCGATCAATCAAAGCTGCTCGTACAACTCTCGATTCCCAGTGAAGTATCAATGTCACGACATTTGAGGGTATCTTTGGAACACTAGTGAAAAAGATAAAATAGAAGGAAGATAAAGTGAAAGGAAAAGTTGTAAGAAAGGAAATAATATAGTAAATTGATATAGATAAAAATAAAATATATTATACTCAATATTGATTATATTCAAGAAGAGTTTTTTATTTCTTTTAGTTAAAATTTATTATGTTGCGTCTGCAGTCGACTTACGAAAGAAATACCAACATTTGTTGTTAAAGTACTAAGATAAACGTAAATTTTGTTGGATCCTATTATGAGCCTGGTATTTAATATAATCCTGTCATGACTCGTGACGTCATATACGCATGCGCATTACAACCTAAGCTTGGAACGATATCTCACGGCCCTGGCATTACTGATTCTATTACCCACGTATCGACAGTTGTCGAATCGATATGCGTCGTTGCGCAGTTTTTCCACGGTATAAAAAAACTGCGCAACGATTCGATAACTGTCGATACGTGGGTAACGGAATAGCGGCCCTGATTCTCGAAAATATATCGCATATGACATTCAGTGAAAAGCTATAGTTCATATTACGTATACTAGCTAGCTTTTCACTAAATATTGTATGCGATATATTTTCGAGAATCAGGGTCCAGGGCCCCTATTCTTGAAATTTTTGCGTATACGTAATTTTCATTGTGCAGCTATTTTATGGT